AGGGGGGGGCTGGGGGGGCGGCGGGAGCCGCGGTTCCCCGGCCTGGGAGCACAGCTGGGCACCCTGGGCCAGCCTGGGGCCGGGTATTCACCCTCTCACCGGTTGATGGGTGCCTGCCGCAGGGGTTTGAGGGGTTTGGGTTCAGTTTCTACCTCTGCCCCCATGGTGTTGCGCTGCTTTGCCCCTCCTGAGCGTGGGCTCCCTGTGGGGTGGCTCCAAAGCGGCTTTTTCCAGGCGTGAGGGAGGTGTTCATGCTCAGGTCTGGGTGCAGAGGGAAGTCAGGGCTCGCCGTGCGGCATTCACGTGGGAATGTGGATGGGGATCACATGGGAATGTGAATGGGGATCACGTGGGATCAAACTCCCACTTCATCAGCACCCTCTGTCTGCGGAGGGGAAACTGAGGCTGGCAGCAGCCTCCAGCAGGCAGGGGGGCACTGGTCCCATGGGTGCCAGCTGGTCCCTTGCACAAGGCTGCAGCTGACCCCAGGGAGCTGCAAATCTGGGGGGCGAAAAGGGCACAGGGCGATTTTCCTTATTGCTGTGCCTGTGCTCCGGGCTGTAGCTGGGCCTGCAGAGCTGGCGGCGGTGGCTGGAGCAAGGGATCCATGCTGCACGTGTCTGCTTTGAGCCAGGTACCTCTGCCCAGCCAAACCATGTGGCTGCACCCCCGGGTTGTTCAGAAATGCCCAAACTTGGCATCTTCTGTGTTTCCAGAAACTTCCCCTGCAGCAGCAGGCGCGATCGCATCCTTGGGCTGGGGCAGGGACAGCCCCCCTCTGCTGAGGGCAGGAGAGGTGCTGAGCCTCCCGGGGTGAGCAGCAGAGCTGGGGAGAAGCAGGGCTCCAGCAAAGGCACCTTCCCGCACATCTGGAGAGCAGCTGGGCAGGACCCCTGCCTGCAGGAGCCAAGGGGCTGTGGGGCACCTAGCGGGGTGCTGGGTCCCGTGGCTTGCCCTGCTATGGCGATGCTGAGCACCAGGCTGACTGTCCGAAGTGAGAACCACGGGGAGGGCTGCGATGCTGTGCTTGGAGAGTGGTGGCTGGCTGCTTGCCCTGCCTCTTGGCTGTGGCTCTCTGATGGGGTCCTCTCCCTCCCGTGTCCCCGCAGGGTGCCCGGGTGTGGATCCCTGACTGTGCTGAAGTCTGGAGGGTGGCAGAGATAACCAGAGGCTACACAGAAGGAGATGCCGTTCTCCATCTCCGCCTGGACGATGGCTCGGTAAGGCTGGAGCTGTGCAGCCCGGCAGGTCCCTCCTGGGCTTGCCACATGGTCGGGCATCCCTAGATAGGAGATAGTTCACTTCTGCACCCCCAGACCAGCCTGGGCCACTCAACAGGGTGTGGAGAGGCCCAAAAATTGCCTGGACAGGTCCCATCTGGTGTCTGAGCAGGAGCCCAGACCACCACAGCCGTGCCTGGCTCACTGTGCCCTGTGTCCCCTGGCTGCCCAGTGAGCTGGGCCTCACTGCCTGCTCCTGCCTGACTTCCCAAAAAGCCTCCACCTCAGCCCGTGATGCCGCTGGGCTGCGATTCGTGGTCGCTAACAGCCAAGCATGGCCTGCAGACAGCATCCCCCCTGCTGCACCACTCCCCACAGACCCATCCCGCCTTTGTGGGGCTGGCTGGCCCAGCTCAGCACCACTGCTGCTCCATCTCCATCCCCGCAGGCGCTGGCCTACCCTGTGCTGCACTCGCTCCGCCGGCGCTTCCTGGAGGCCAATGCCATCTACACTTACTGCGGTGAGCCCCGAGCACCCCTCCTGCTCCCCACCCCGTGCCCCCACCCTTGGCTCCCTGGGACGGGTGCCCCCCCTGCCCCTTGCACAGCCCTCTGCCTCCAGGTATCATCCTTGTGGCTATCAACCCCTACAAGCCGTTGCCCATCTATGAGGAGGAGGTGATTTACGCCTACAGCGGCCGCGAAATGGGGGACATGGATCCCCACATCTTTGCTTTGGCGGAGGAAGCGTACAAGCAGATGGTGAGGTGCGAGCATCGTGTGGGAGCACCCCTGGGGTTGCAGCGGGGAAAGGCTGAAGCCTCCTCTGGACTGTGGTGTGTCCGTGGAGTCACGGGCTGTCCCCAGCTTGTGTCCCCTCTCTGGCAGGTTTGGGAAGAACCAGTCCCTCATCATCAGTGGTGAGTCGGGCGCAGGGAAGACCATGTCAGCCAAGTATGCCATGAGATACTTCACCACAGTCGGGGGCTGCCTGGGCGACTCCAGCATGGAGGGGAAGGTGCTGGCCTCCAGCCCCATCATGGAGGTGGGTCCCTGCATGGGGATAGCTGGGGTGTCCTTGCAGGGTCTCCCTGTGCTCCTCATGGCCTGTATCCCTGATGCAAAGCTGCGTCTGTCCTCCCCACCCTGGTAAAATGGGTTGCAGGGACTGAACTTCTCTGGGGCACCTGGAGATATGGGGCCAGCTAAAACCTCCTGCCTTCCTTCCCTGCCAGGCCTTTGGGAATGCAAAGACAACCAGGAATGACAACAGTAGCCGCTTTGGGAAGTACATTGAGATTGGCTTCAGCCAAGCGCATGTTGCAGGGGCCACCATCAAAACCTACCTGCTGGAGAAGTCCCGTGTCACCTTCCAGGTGGGTTTCTGGGGTGGCATGGGGATGGAGCTGAGTGGGACCCCCAGTCCTTGGAGCAGGAGGGTGTTCCTTCCGGGCATCCCCCCAGGGAAGCAACCCCAGTGCTGCAGAGTCAAGCTGGGAGAGGGGAAGGTGTCCCTTGTCCCCAGATCTGGGGCTGCAGCACTGCTGCAGGGGGGAGCAGGGTGGCCCAAGGTGACCTGGCTTCTCGATGATTTTTCTTCCTCATCCGCAGGCAAAAGCAGAGAGGAACTACCACATCTTCTACCAGCTCTGTGCCTCGGCCACGCTGCCTGAGCTCCAGGGCCTGGGTCTCCGTGAGTGCCCCCACTTTCCCCCCATGGCACAGCTTGCTGCCAGCCCGTCCCACGCTGCCCTCCCCAGCTGGGTGCTGGGGGAGGTGCTGCTGCTGCTGGGCACCCCGGGGTGGGATGAGGGTGGTGGGGAGCCCCGTGGGGTAGGTTGTGCTGGTTGACAGCCTGACGCATCTCACCCGCAGATGGGGCAGAGTCCTTCCACTACACCCGCCAGGGCCAGTGCGCCGCTGCCCAGAGCACCAACGATGCGGCTGACTTGGACAGCACGCGGCACGCCTTCTCGCTCCTGGGTACTGGGGGGCGGGCAGGGCTGGTCCCTGGGGCTGGTTGTCCTAAAGCCCTCACCCCGGTGCTGGTGTAGGAGTGCTGGTGCCAGGCATCCCAGTGCTGGGGAGCCCGGCTGCCTACTGGCCATTCCCATCCCCCTGGTTTGTGCGTTGCAGGGGTTTGGACCAGCACGGGGTGGGGGGGCCTGGGGGGTCGCTCATGCCCATGCTGTGCCCACAGGTGTCCTGGAGGCCGACCAGCTGGTGCTGTTCAGCATGCTGGCTGCCATCCTGCACCTGGGCAACATCAGGATCAGAGGGAGGGACCGCCGCGGGGACGGCTGCTTCGTGGAGGTGGGCGAGAGCTTGCTGCCTGCACCCTGCATCCCAAAATGGCCCCTGAGCTGTGCTGGCTGCAGGAGCCACATCTCGGCGATACCATGGTGATGGGGTCTGTCCCTCTGCAGGCTGACGATGAGGCCCTCGGGCTGTTCTGCGCACTGCTGGGCATCGAGGCATCGCAGGTGATGCGCTGGCTCTGCCACCGCAAGCTGGTCACTGCTGGCGAGACCTACCTGAAGCCC